TGCAATACAGTAAGATATTCAATTTTATTGTGTTATTTTATAATACGAATTTTGTACAATATTTTTATTATTTAAATAAAATATAAATTTGAATATCCAAAAAAATTTCTATCGATATTAATATCAAATTGATAGTTTAAAAGTTATCGTTTTTTATATAATATTTTTAGTTCAATTTTTTAGTATAAATTAATTTAGGTTTAATGACGAATTTATTTATTTTAAGTCTAATAATATAATGCTTTTTATCAAGATAGTTTTTAGTTCGATGTTTTTATTATAATTTAATTTAGTTTTAATAACGAATTAACTTATTTTAGGTTTGATAAAATATTTTTTTATAAAGATAATAATCATGTATTTAGCTATAATTTAATTATTGTTCTAATTTTATTTTAGATTATTTATATTTAAAATAGATATTCATCATGTATTTGATTATGTTTATCAGTTAGTTAATATAACTTTTAAAAGTTGTACTCATGCTTCATTTAATTATAATCTTGAATTTTAAGTAATATGTATCATTAAACGATATTTGATGCATTAAAAATGATTTTTAAGAGTTTTACCAAAATGTTTTATAATATAGTATCGGTAATCAACTTCTAAAAGTTTCACATCTGAAATCAATAAAACTAATGAGTTGTTTATTAATAAATTGCATGAAAAAGTAACGTATTTTAACTTGATTTTTATTTTGGGTAACGTATTTTTAGAACTTTCATTTTGGTACCTAAGATTAAAGCTTTAAACATTTAAGTATCCGGGTAACCGGTTGACGTATTAACCGGTTACCATGCTGATGTGACGAGTGATATGGTATCCAACTCAGTATAAAAAATCATTCGCCACATTAGCATGGTAATCGATTTGTAACAACTGTCCCACATTGATAAAAAGTGAGAATTGTTAGCTCCTTATAAGTCCCAAGTAGTGGGCTACCAATAACTTCCACCACGGTTTTAAGTTGGATTCGAAGTTATTGGGCTAGTTCGTTGCTTTGGGCTTTGGAGTGTTACAAATGGTATCAGAGCCGATTCTTGTACCATCGGGATGGTGGGGCAAACCTCATCGGGTACGATGAGTCCTCAAGAAGGGGTGTTTGTAACATTTTAGGCAAATCCCACATTGCCAATGACAAGAAGAAAGATTTTGGATAAGCCTGACGTCAGCCTGACGAGGACGTCAGAAGTTTAAGCGAGAGAGTTTGTAACAACTGTCCCACATGGATTAAAAAATGAGAATTGTTAGCTCTTTATAAGTCCCAAGTAGTGGGCTACCAATAACTTCCACCATGGTTTTAAGTTGGATTCGAAGTTATTGGGCAAGTTCGTTGCTTTGGGTTTTGGGGTGTTACACGATTAATGCTTCAACCAGTTACCCGAGTACCTAAATATTTAAAATTTTACATCTTTGGTACCAAAATAGTAGTTTTGAAAGTACGTTACCTAAAATATGAATCAAGTTAAACCACATTATTTTTTATGCAATTTGTCCTTTTAAAAAAAGCAACTTATCTATTTATCTTAAAAAATGTCCGGATAAACCTCTTAAACTCCAAAAATATCATCTATAAAAAATTTGGCTAAATTTGAGAAAAACATCAGCAAGCTTATTTTTCTGTACTTATTTCAAAAACCTCGTTTGAATGAACAAAAAGTAATTTATAAGTTAATTTATTGAAACACTGCTTGAAGTAGTATTTCTTTGATTATTTTACATCTATCTGTGTTTTCAAAACTTATTTTTAGGAAATGAAAGAAAAGAAAAACCCGTATGTTCGAAACTTTTTTAGGAAAGAAAGGAAAAAAAACGAAAGAAAAATAATGACAAGTTTCCTCTCAAAACTTTCTTTCTAAATAAAGGAAGAAAGAGAAAAAAAAAAATTAAAACTCTTTGTACAGATATACAACTAGTTAATTTAAATTTAAGATAGAATTATACATCGTGCTGTATTATATGGATACACAACCAGTTTATATTATATTACAAAGCATTTGACAAAAACTCTTAAAAACCGTTTTTTATGCATGAAGTATTGTTTATTGATGCATATTACTTGAAATTCAAGATTACAAGTAAATTATGCGTAAATACAACTTATTAAAGCTTCATGTTTAAATTCGTGTAACTAACTGCGGTTAAACATAATTAAATAGAAAATAAACACTTCATTTTAAATATAAAAAATCTAAAATAAAATCAAGATAATTATTGAGTTCAAGTAAAATACTTGATTATTATCTTTATAAAAAAATATATTATTAAACCAAAAAATGAATTATAGAAATACACACAAAAGAGAAATTATAAATAGTCAGTTTGGTACCAATATCAATATTATTTTTTCAATTTTTTATGACATATCTTCATATTTATATTTTATTCAAAAATAAAAACATTATCGTTTTCTCAAAATTACATAAACCCATATTATAACATCAATCGAGACAAAAAAAATATTAAAATCAAAATATATCTGATTATATTATATAAATATCCTTTTAAAGCATAAAAAATGTAAAGTTATTGTTTTGCATATCATTTGTACCCATGAATGTTATAATTATATTGTCAAGATAAAGTTTGTACGTATTTAATGTTGAAATTTATTATTTGAAGACAACTGTCAGTTTTGAACACATGTCACCTATCCATGGATCAACCAAATATGCATTAAACTTTCATATTTAATTTTTGAAAAATTCACCCAAATAACAATATTTTACGATTAAATTGACCTGTTAATTATTTTTTTACGGACTTTACCAAACATTCACTAGGTCTGCATTATTCAGATATGTAATTATTACGGACCTATTAAATGATAAAATTTTAGAGTTTGGACCGATGGTTACGGTCCTGACCCAAAAATGTTGATTCTTTTGTCATTTAATGGGTCCGCAATAATTACGGACCTGAATATTATAGACCTGGTGAATTTTGAGGTAAAGTCTGGAAACAAATGGTTAGGAGGTTGATTTGGTTATGGAATATGGTCATTTGAGTCAATTTTTTTTCCAGTTATGTCATTTTTGTTTAATTTGTTATTATTTTCAATATGAAGTGACTGATTGATTTCCAACGTAAATCTTATTTTAAATGTCTTTGTGCTAATTTACAATGTCTTTATCTTTTTATGATTATTGTTATTTGTTGTCGATATTAATATGTAGAATAAATCATTGTATAAATAACAAATTATTAATTTGGAAAGAATTATGTTGGTCTCAACCATCGGATTTGTAAAATAATGTAACTAGCATATGATTCAACACGTTAACACTTGTCTGGTAATGGTCACATCCGTGCAGTGTTTATCGGATCTGACACAAAGTGTAATAGTATATGAACCTTGCATAAGAAAGTAATTTATTGGTTTAAGGTTTCAGATCTTAGTCATCTTCAAATCTATAGCTTAGATAGTATGTTGGGATCAGATATCAGATTTGATGATTCTCCATCCGAATGGAAGAATAAGATCGAAAAAGCATAAATTGGTCATTTAGTTTTGATTTTCAAGAACCTACAAATGCTCTAAGGGGCTGTTTGGATCATGGAATTTGGTGGAATTGAAAGAAATTAGAATGTTCAAATCTTTGACCAATTTCCAAATATGATGTTTGGTTCACATAATACGAGGGAAAGAATCCTTTCAATTCCTACAAATTCCTTCGGTCACCGATTTCAGAATTCCACTTGATATACCACGGATTTCAAATTCATTTCAATCAAATTCCATTCCATTTCCTCAAAGTCAAATTCATTTGATGAATTCCAATTCTACCGAATTCTATTTTACGAACCAAACGCCCCCTACGTTATTTTAGCATCCGATATTCCTACTTCATAATTGATCTATATTTGGAATTTGATCTATAGCTTATATTTCAGAATATAAAAAGATAGGACTTGTAACTACCTGTAAGAAAGAAGAAGAAAAAACTTCAACAAACTCGAAGACTAGTTGAAGTGAGATCAAGATCGTCACTAAAGTGAATTGGTTTGTTATCTAGCCAAAAGAAGATCAATACAAGATAAAAGTCAAATAGTAGTATGACAAATACTACTACTGACAAGATGGATTTTAGGGTGCAAACTTATCCAACAAGTTTGACCCACTAACTCTACCAACAATCATCCAAGTATGGCAACATGCATAGCATGTCAACCAAAGTAGTTTATAATATACTAGTTTAATAGTACTATATACTTTCACTGTTGTTCCCTTTGCACACAGAAGGATGAGTTGGGTTAACAAATGTTTACATAAACTTCAAAGGCTGAAATGAAGAGTACAAGCATTCATGAATCATCAAATCAGATAAAGACACACATTAAAGTTGACAAACATAATTTAACACAATGGTGGCTATAAAAAGGTCATCTTTGTCATATGTTGCAACTCACCCATCTTGAAAGAACTTCTAAGTGATAGTTTTTCAAGCAAAATTGACGTCACCATCTGAAGAAATATCTAAGTATTTCAGATCTGAAAGAGTACTTTCTTCAGAGTTAAATTTAGTTCAGGTTCTTATATACGAATTTTATATGTATGAATCAGAATTTGGTTTTTGTTCTTGTTCATGTTCATCTTGTTTTTTTTAAAAATTAAATTCAGTTCATGTTTCATCTGATTCACATAGATGTATGTATCAGATCTGTTCATCTTCATCTAGGTTTTGTTCTTGTTTGTATCATATCAAAATATACAAGAAAAGACGAATTTGCCCCTCACATAACAGACATGTGTGGTAACTAACAAACCTCCTATTAACGATGTTAACTCAAGGACGAGTCTATTACATAAAATACAAAATAAAAACCACTTGTTTAATTCACTCCATAAAAAAAATTTAAAAAGAAATGTTTTTATTTTTTTATTTTATTTGAGATGAGGAAAGCAGGGAGAGAACGTGGCTTGGCCACGTCATCTTCACTTTCGTCTCGAGTCCACTTATCGTCGATAACGTCTGAGCATCTCATTACCCTTCACATGGAGACGCTAATGGCATCCTCTTCTTCAACGGCGGCCATCCTCTGCCGGCAACGGGTTCTTCCCGTCCCTTCCTCCAGTTCATTCTTCTACACCGGTTGTTGCTCCCAAGGTATGACGTCGTTCATCCGAAACCCCTTATTCAGCAATCATGGTGGAGGGAGAAAACTCAATCACTCGTTCAAATACTCTTCATCTTCGTCTTCCTCATCGAGTGTGAAACTGGAGATCAAATGTGGAGTTACGGAGATAAACGAGAGCCAATTCGCAGAGGTAGTGTTGAAATCTGACCGTCCTGTTCTTGTCGAGTTTATTGCCACTTGGTGCGGACCTTGTCGGCTAGTCGCTCCTGCCGTTGAATCGATAGCACAGGTTCATACGCATCTCCTTTTCTCTGAATTTCTGTTGGCCTAATTTTTAACCAGTTAATCAAATCGCAATCGAAATCAAGGTGAAATTTGTTTGCAAATCGAATTACGAATTACTTGAACCTAGTTTACGGATTTCATTTCATTTTCTGTATTGTTCCCATTTTAGGGATTCAGTCGAGAGATCCACAGATTGTGGTTATTCACGGGGTTTCGAATTTCAATTGCGTTTGTTAACTTTCAGGAATACGAAGAGAAATTACTGGTTGTAAAGATCGATCACGACTCAAATCCAAAGCTAATCGAAGAGTACAAGGTGTACGGATTGCCTGCTCTGATCGTGTTCAAAGACGGGAAAGAAATTCCAGAAAGCAGAAGGGAAGGTGCAATTACAAAAGCAAAGCTGAAGGAGTACATTGATGGACTACTGAAATCGGTATCAATTGCATAAATTCCAAGAATCCATCACTTATTTTTGTCACAATTCTGTTATACAATTAATATCAGATGATTCAGATTCATGTGCAGCAGGAGAATTGTACAAAAGTGTGTTCTACATCTTCTTTAATATATGGGTTTGCAAACATTTAAATACATACATAGACAACGGGACCAAGCGTGGTTTGATTGGTTTTTTCATTAAATCATATACTGATAAAGTTGTCTATATGAATTAATTTGTCTGTATAGATTGAAAGGTTTTTGTTTCAGAACTTAAATTATATATGGATAAAGTTATTTTTGTTTGTCGTAACGGACTTAACGAAAAACCAACCAAATAACCTCGAAGCCACTTTCTATATCATCAAGGCACTATCTAAAAGTCATGTCTAGTTGACCGAATAAAATGTAAGTCTCGTTAAACTGCTAACAAACATGCCATAATCTTCAAAAAGGTTGAGAACCATGATAATCTCATTTTTCTTTAGTTTATTAAATTCTGTTAGACTACTATTGTATTTTTATGGAAATATTGGGCACATGATATTTTTGAGCCCTGGGTGTGCGTCCGTGCCACCCTCCCCCAGGGACGGCCCTGTTTCCGAGTATTTCAGTACTTCTTTGAGAATCTGAAATACCAATTTGACAGTAAAGTACTCTTTTACTGATTTATGAAACATTTCAACCTTTCTATCTGATCTTCAAAAATCACTTGTTTGCACCCCATTGATGGTACTCGTGCGATCACTTATAATGAAGTTAAATCTTCCCATTCTTTAACTTATGGGCATCCTTAAAATTACAACATTTTTTTTAAAGTATATAATATTTATATACAACAAATGAATACGTTCACCTTCCTCATATTTGTTGAGGTTTGAACCGTATGTCTTGTAAAATATTGGGGCTCTGCATACAACTAGGCTAGGCCCTTCGGTTTTGCAACATGTTATATACAAGCAAGGATTCATCCCTATAACTCAACGCCATACCGCTCCCATCGAACCACGGTCATATCGATGGACGATGCCATTTGTCATAAACAGGGGAAGCATTACTTATGTGTAGCTTGTGCCATTTCATCGTTTTAATCCAATTTATCAAGGTTTCGAACCCAAGTTGATTAACCACTTCACGCATAGAAACATTTTCCCATACCCTTTGATTTCTCTCTTTCCAAATACTCTATAGAAGAGTAAAAGGAGGTGTTCATATGTAAATCACTGAAAAAATCCAAAAAAAATATAGCTGAAGATAAATATAGGAACACATATTAAGACTGTTCATATGAGCTCAAATATATATGAAATTAATTTCATTTATGAATATCCTAATCTTACCAACTCATGATATTTAGCCTTATTTTTGAACCTTCCAGTTACAAATTATGTATAAATATGTATATAAGAACATCTCCAACAAATTCTCCAAAATCGAGAAAATGAAAATTTTGGCAAATTTTTTGTTTTAACAGATTCTCCAAAAGAGAGAAAGTAAGGGGCCGTTTACCAAATACTTACTCGGTAAGCGTTTACCGGCAAAATTAACACCATCATTTATTTACTGGGCAAGATTTTAGTCCATCAAAACGGCATTGTATGCAACAATTTACCTAGTAAGCACTACCGTGGTAAGAGTCGTTGTCTTCACTTGCCGGGTAAGACTCTTAGCCTTTGTCTTGCTCTTACCAGGTAAGATTCTTGGTTTTTACCATATTCATCCGGTAATGTAATGTGATTTGATAAACGCTTACCTAAGTAAACATTTGGTAAACAGCCCCTAAGAGAGAGTGTGTGAAATTCTTAGAATTTGGAGAATTCTCTGAAAATGATTATGATAAATTATGATAAAAGAGAAACATTTTTTTTTATTATAACTCACCAATTAGAATCCTTGAAATCAAATCTTAAGAGATAAATAACATTTTATTAGATAAATGAAATATTTTAATATTATAATTAGTGTTTTTTTAAATATATAATATCTATATACGACAAATGCAACAAATAAACTCACACACCGTCCTCATATTTGGTGAAATTTAAATCCTTGACCTCTTATAAAGCCAAAGACTACGATACTGTTAGGTCAAAAACCTTTTAGTTATTATAATTAATGTTGTAATCTTCTAAAATGAATAAAGCTTTGAATGTGAATGTAATTCTTTTTTGAAGATTTCGAATTTTAATTCTTTGTTTTAACTTTTTCTAAATAATATATTGGAGAAGCTCAGTTATTATACACAACCACTTAACAATAAATTGAACAAATGTTTATTTGTTTGTAGCTTAATGAATTTAATAAAACTCATAATTTATTCGATTAATTATTAATGAGTGTTTAAAAATTGGTTCAGTAAACTTGGAGCTTTATATGAAAAAAAGCCTCCCAGATTAAGACCTACCAAATCTGTACTTAAGAGCATCTTCAATGGATTTTCTTTTATACTTTTTGTTGCCAATTCATCTCCACCTCATCAAATTAATATCTCTCTTAAATATACGAGGTTCTTATAAGAACCTCTCTCATAGTTATTAGAGCATCTTCAACAGCTTCTTTAAAATAAAGAAAATCAACCTTTTATTCTCTATAGTACTCGAACAACTTTTCTATAATGTTCTCTAGGATAGAGAAAATATGAAAGACCTCTAGATTTAAAGAGTTCTCTAAAATTTGATTTTAATAAAGAGAAATGATTATTTTATTTAATATCATCAATAAAATGAATTGTTAATATTTTATAAATAATTTCTTTTTTAAAGTGTATTGAGATGATAAATTAAAAAATATTATAATAATATGATTTATATAAAAATTATTTTAAATAATATGTTTAATTAGATGATTTTACAAGCTAAAAATAGTTCTATTAAGAGACAACCTCTAAATCGTTAAGAGTTGAATCTTGTTCGATAAAAAATAATATTTTTCTTAATGATTTTAAAATTCTATGAATGATTTTGTATTTTGAGCGTCTCTTAACCTTTTATATTTGACCAATTACCAAAAAAATTATATTTCATTTTTTTTTACTGTTTTAAGAAGGGAAAAGTACAATAAAAACCAATGAACTTTCTTGTTTGGAATGATTAAGTCCTTGAACTTTTTTTTGGAACAAATAAGTCCTTGAACTTT